CTTCCGACCCTAGAAACTATGAAACTATGAAACATTTAGGGTGTGTGGTTAGACTGGATTAAAAATGGCTTCTGAATCTAAAGTAAGTCAAGATGAGGCAGGGCCAGCAGGCGGGGGCTTGAGGGGCCAAGCAATGTCTGTGGGAGGGCTGCAGGGCTGCTTGGGGAGATTGGGGGAGACTAGTGGGGAGCTTGGAGGATTGGGTTCCACAGGGGGCTTGGTTGGGTCCTGAAGGGTTTGGCAGGATCAGGGAGGCAAGGAAGATCTGTGGGGGAGGGCTAGGGAAATTGGGGGGGGGTCAGTGAGATTGTAATGGCTCTCTGATCCTACCAACACCCCCCCAAGACCCTCCTCAGTGCTGCTGAACTGCCCCTAATCCCCCAAACTGCTCCCAGGGCCCTTTTATCAGCATTCACAAGTTCCAGGAGCCTAATTGAAACAAGTTGGGGTGGGGGGAGTGGTGGAACTGCAAAGATGGGGGGATTGGCAGGATGAGGGATCTCCCTCCCCCCTCCAGACCTATTTGTAGCCTCCCATCCCCCCACCCTCAAATGAACAACCGCCCCCAGCAAACCAACCCCACTCCCCCAATCCCACCTGCCCCTCCCCCTGCCCTGACTTATTTCTATCAGCTCCAACCACTGGTAAACACCAGTAAAACTGGCACCAGGAACAGCTTGAGGGCTTGCAGGGTTTGACAGGCTCAGGGAAAGGTGGGTGCTGGCTGATCAACTGAAGGATTGTCCATCTAGAGGTGTGTGTATAGGGGGAAGGGGTCAGGGCCTGGAAAGCACTTGGTGCTGGGGTGGGGACAGGCACTAGCAAAAGCATGACTGCAGGGCTGGGGCCAGTGGCTGGGCTTTTCCATCCATGAGGCCACACTGGGAACTGTACAGAAGTTCAGTTAGATCAGTCTCACTAGGCCCAATCTAAGTTAGACTACCACCGAGGTACAGTTAACTTAGATCAAGTCAGCTGGTTTTAGACTAATCTAATCTTCCTGAACTTCTGTACAGTTTGCACTTATATCTACCTAACTAAGGATATAAATATAAGGTCTGAATCTTGGTGAACTAAGTTAGATTTTAACATGATCTAACCTCCCCGAACATCTGTATTTAGCCTGAGCAATGAGTCTGACAAATTGTAGGGTACAGGACATCTGCTTGTTATAGAAATACTCCCAATGGACTGGTGCCACTTCAGGCTCTGAAGGCTGTAGTACACCTGGCCACTTCATAAATATGTAGCACTAACTTTCTGGGTCACTCCACTAACTTAATGGGTTGATTACCTCAAAAGTATCAGCAGCAAACAAATCAAAGGGGCTGTCTGACGCCTTGGAGTTGACCAGCAGTGCATCAAATTCTTTTCCGACCTCAAAGTTTCCGATCAAATTATCTAGTCCTAGGGCTGTGAAACATAACCAGTTAATCAAGGAATCTCTAATTTTCTATACATACACAACCCCTAACTCCAAGTTATTTTAATCCCCATTTTTTTTCAAAGCCTCATCTGAAAAGCTTTCACCTGATTGTCTTGAGTGTCATTAAAGGGGAGCTGAGGGTGCTGAATATTTTCGAGAAATGCTCTTTTATTTTTAAGGGTAAAGGGCTAAATGGATGCAGCCAGGATCTGACTCTGTGGTGCAAGTAATTCAGCTCATTGAACCCTGAAGCTTAGAATGTTATGACTTCAATCCAATAGTGTGCAGTGACTCCACAGAGCTCCATTGGCTTTAAGGTTTTGCCCATGCTGATCCATTTGGAGGATTTGGTGTCTAAGCCACCCTAACTAGACAACTCTAGGGCAGATTTCTGCAAATATGAATCCAGAGGTGAACTAAATAAACCATACTTCAGTGAGGGTCTGATTTGTCTAGGGCAGTGGTGCTCAACCAGTGGGCTGGATGGGCAGTGGCCAGGCTGTCTGTGGACTGGATGTGGCTGATGGTCCTAAACCACATGGGGAAGTTACGTCAGGGTCCCACTGAGCCATGAGCATGGGGCAGGGAGCATCCCAGCTCCAACCTGGCCCCACGGAGGGGAGGAAGGGAGAGTGGCCCAGCCCCAAGGAAGGTAGAGGGCTTGACCTGGCCCTTTGAAGGGGGATGCAGGGCTTAAGGCAGCCTCAACCAGGCCCTGTGGAGGGAAGGAGGCATGGCCTTGTCTCATCCAGCCCGGGGGAGGAACATGTCCCAGCCTCATCCAGCCACAGGGATGGGGATGGGGGTATGACCTAGCCCTAACTTGCTGCATGGGACTTGGGGTTTGGAAATTCAGCAGTGGGGGAGGGTGGCCATATTTATTGTCATCACTCCCCTGCTGTCAAATTTCCCAATCCATTGGGAGCCCCACAGGACACATTTGGCCCTTGGGCCAAAGGTTGCGGACCTCTGGTCTAGGGAAATCAAAGGACAGACTCCGATTGGTTTCAATGAGCACTGGATTTGTTTTCATGTAATGTTGCTTTATTAAGTCACCTAAGTGGTCAGCTCTTGAAATTATGGGTATATATGTAGTTTCTAATTACATTGGACATGATTGCTGAATGCTTTGGGATCTTTGGATGGAAGTATTGTTGATCCCAACTTCAGTATCAACTAGGGCAGGATATAACTGAGGACTAGAACCGGGCTTCAGATTTTGGAGTTTCCTAACAGCTCAGACATAGCCCAAAATTCTGCTGTGTAGTTACCAAGCATAGGGCCAGTTTTTATTTTACTGGTTCATATGGAAACTGGAGTAGATGACCCTTACAGCCCTAGTTTCCTATGATCCTATGGTCTTCAGCTGTTGAAGCATCTTTTTAGTTCATTTTACAGGAAAGTCCCACATGAAGGAGTTAGTATGAAGCCCTACTGCAAACAAGTCTCAAGTTTTCATCTGCAGGATGTCTACAGAATAGTTCCTTATGGTGGGACAGGAAAGCAGGGAGGCCAAAAACACAGCCCTAAGGCTTGTTTTATTGGGTAGTGGGATCTACTTTTTTTCCTTTTATTATTTTGCATCTCACATCTCACAGTACTATTAAATTATAACCTCTGGGTCTGGTTTTTAGAGATGCCAAACAACCACTGTTGAAGTCAGTAGTATTTGCAGGTGTTTAGCATCTCTAAAATTAAGCGTGCCATTCTATTCTCTTTTAAAAATAATTAAACTTGTATGATTTATCTGTAAGATAAAATAAGCTTCACTAGGAATTGCACTGGTATTGCCCAGAGCAAAATATCAGCACAGAATGACTTCTCTAGTTTGTAAGGTTCAAGGCTGGCAACTGAAATTACAGTTGTTATAGAAATTTGGCTGGTATAGAAATTTCATGGGATTGCAGCAAGGTTTTAAAAAAATAAGAATGGTGAAATAATAGCTTTGTCAAATTGGTCTTGGACACAATTAAATACCAACTTCACCTGAAAGGGTCTGTTGTGATTTTTCTCGTGTGCCTATTGCAATTTCTGAGTTAAACATAAGGGGGTGTTAAAGGATCAGAAGTCTTAGCAGTCAAATTGCATAGCAAAAGAGTAAATATCAAGAAGAAATCTTGCCAATCCAGACTTTCCCAAGTCACATTGGTCTAAGGTGGGTGGTTGAACAAAACAATAATATAATTTAGCATTTAATAGTAACTTACAATTTTAGAAAAAAAGAAAGGTGATTCAATACATCTACAATCATTTTTAAATGGATTTGTAAAGTAAACCTACCATCAGCAGCTTAACTGAACAATTCTGCTGGCAGTGGTCAGAAAAGCAGTGGTAGTGGCTGCCATTTTTGCGCCCCAGTGACATCAGCACCTGGGGCTAGTGCCCAGTTGCCACCCTCCCTTTTTTATGCTACTGCCCACCATAGTTTTGTAACCTAAAAACCCAAGTTTTTAGGTTACAAAAACTTGAGGGCTAGAACTGGGCTTCAGGGGCACTTTTACACACGCTCCAGGGAGGGGGGCAGTCAGCACTTTAATTAGAGCAGGTCTGAGAGCTGCTCTAATTAAAGGACCACCACGTCTCCTGTATCAGTGTCAGCCTTGGTCTGTAACATCTCAAATGAGTACCTTAACCACTAGTCAGCCAGTAGGCATGTCTACATGAGACTTTTACTATGGAGCTAAATACCTCTGCAGCAAATGTCTCAATGTCTATATTATTAGGCCATGGTAAACTAATAAATGTTGCCATAGGATAATACTTGTAAACACAGGTACTATCCTACACCAGCATTTTTAGTACAGTGCTACACATGTAGATACTATTGGGAATGGCTGGAGCATGAAGGTGCTTCAGTGCAGGGGCTGAATCTTTTTATAGAACCTAGCACAATCTATTTATCAACTGGTTTTACATTAGCTGGTATTTTCTAACCAAAAAAAATATCTGACTACCTCTTCTGCTATATCTGCTGCCAATTAAATAATGACATCTGTACCCATGCTTAGATTTGCTTTCTACTAAACAGTGCAAGTTCTATTGTAACATTATGCTTGATTTTTTTTTTCTTTTTAAAGGCAGTAATCATGTATATCAACCATGACAATCTATTTTAGTGAACCAGATTACTAGACGTATTGGATATAACTGCTATAGTCTGACAGTGCTGCTGAACTTTAAACAACGATATTGTGTATGTTGTTTAGATTTTATTCACACTTATTTCTGGCTCAGAGGTGATTTGCAATATGTCATTTTTAATAAAATAATAGGTAGTCTCACAGTGGCTCAAAAAAGAAGAAATAAAGCACACATGTGAAGTGGACATGAAATATAATTTATAATAGTTGCATCATGCTTTTTGAAGTAGCGGCTGCTGAATTATCTTGCAGTTGCAACATACAGAAATCCATCATCTCTCCATAACAGAGAAGTCAGGATTTCTTTAGAGAAAATGTAAAGTCTTGAAAATGCAATGAGACTTAATTATCCAAACTAGTAATGTCATTATGAATGTTTTTCAGGTATCATATCTGGTATCTTTATGAACCACCCTCTAGTGTTGGGTTCATACCACTACAGAAAATCTTACTTTTCTCTGCCTTTTTTCTTCCCAGAAAAAAAATATTAAAAAATTATAGAGCCTGAAGGAGCTCCCAAAGTAAAAACAAGATTTTGTTAAAGAACTTTATCTTGGTCCCAGATATTTTGGAGTGGGTTGATATGGCTACATTTTGAGGACAACAAAAACACCGTAAAATAGCTGTAATCAGAACATAATATATATAATCTACAGGGAATAAAATGTCTCCTTACCTTGGCTTCCTCCAAGAGTTGCTAGTCGGAAAACTTCTTTAATTGTTAGGCCTTCCTCATTGATTTTATTTATTTTAAGGCCATGAGACGTAATCATTGTTTTCCTTATAGCATCTAGCATGGAAGCTGAATATCCACCAGCAACATCTACAATAAATCAAAATCATAAAGCTCAGATTTTTGGATATAGTGTTAGTTTTAAAATGTATGAACTGCAATACAGTGTTAGATAATGGCAGGTGATATAGAAAAAAAATCACTGTTATGCCCTATCTTCTACTGAAAAATTCCTAAGCAAGATTGATATGACAGCTGCATGAACAGCTGTATAAGTGATACAGATAATACAGAAAATCATAATTCCAGATCACATGCTCATTACTTTTGATCAGAGGAACATATTATCTCCATTCATTTTCACAACATTTTAAATGTTTTGATCAGTTCAAGATCTAAGGTGATGGGAAACTAGATCCACTAATTAACTTGGCTGCAAGTTAAAACTTTAATATAAATATATGTCAATTTATTTGCAGGATAAAATAACTCTAAAACAAATACTCCTATAGGAAATTACTAACCTGTGCCCAAGCCCAGATTCACTTTGTGTTTCAGAACTTTTCGCACATTTAAATTGCCACTACACAACCTGAATTGGAAAGAAACAGGTCTTATATCACATGCACAACAACAAGTGTAAAGGCTCATTTCTGTAGTCCTTGCTCAAACAAGATGTCACTGGGGTTTCACTTAGGCTGTGTATACTTGTTCAAGTGATCTGGTAGAAAACGCTTACCTAGAGACCCCAGAAAAGATATTCAAATGCCAAGCCCCTGAGGAGCAGAGGGTTTACAGTGCTGATGCTGCACAGCCGCAGGGCCCTTTTGTACACATCTTGACGTGCTCTGCAGGCTCCCTCAATCCGTCTGGCGAGAGATGGCAGCAGTGCACAGGGCAGCCCTGACCGGCTGGCCCAGAGTGGTCAAACTGCACATTTTGGGGACTGTGAAGGGTGTTCTACTCTCTGCTCAGCTGGAGCAATAGAAGGCATCCCAAGCAATACCCTGTCTCCCTGGGAAGAGGGAGGAGAACCAGGAGCAAAGCACCCTGGGTGACTGAAGAAGTGTGCTGCAGCTTCTCAGAAGGAAAAGTGTACAGACATTTGTTTTTCCAGGAGAAACTCTTCTGGGAGTGTGTTAACCCTGGATGTTCCCAGGTTGTTTTTTTTTCCCAGGTAGCCATTTTTACTCTAAGGAAAAAAAATCCCGAACATCTGTACACTTGCAGTTTCTAGTGGGAGAACAGCAACTCTCCCAGTAGAAACTGAGGGCATCTATACATGTGCTCCGGCGTGGAGGATGGGTGCTTTGCATTTGGTGAGCTTTAATTAAAGCACCCCTGCCATCATGTTGAAACATGGGAATGCTGAATGTACACGACGCGGAGGCTGCTCGCACTAATTAGCATGCTTCAGCAGACTTGCAGCAGACTCGATTCATCAAATCTACTCCAACATATGCTAATTAGCACACATTGAAGCAGAACTCTGTCATGTGTATAGGTACCCTGAATGTCTGTACATGTTCCTGAGCAATAACAGAAGAGTATGCCTCTAAGACAGTTTCATGGCAATGCGTCGCTATACAAAGTCTTTTCCAAAATGTGACCAGTGAAGCCTTATCCAGTAGAGATAAACCATGTATGTTTATAAATCTGAATAATGCATCTTTAAAATGATAAGGATCAATTAAAGAAACTCACTAGAAGGTCTCTGTAGTCTCATGTTTGTAACCAAAAATTAGATCTCTAGTATACTCACAAAGGGCCAAAACCAAAAGCAGAAGTGAGCTAGTCTAAATAACATATTAATTTGTAATGTGGAGGTGTAACTTAATGCCACAAATCTGTTAAACTGTACTAGATCACCAGAGGGCAAGAAGATGAATCTGTTAAAAGGCAGTCTCCTGTTCTGGAGGCTGATGGGTCACCAGGAAAGGGAAGTTCCACAGTGGGTAGAAGAGTATGAGAAGAGAGTAAGAAATGAGTTAAGCAGTCCAGGTGTTCCTGAGACAGGTTATAGACCTAGTATATCACCGAGGATTGTTTCAGCAGTAACAACAAACCCTCTGAAGACCTCACGAAGGGACATTGCTCCATCACACAAGAGAAAGGAGCAGTAGGAGAAACTGATAATATGAAGCTGTGAGTTAGAGCAGGGAGGGGAAAAGTTCACTGACTACTTTTTACCCTACATTTTCTCCAAACTTTCATAAGAAAATCATATCAACTTGGATTTCTTTAGTGCCCAATTTTGAATTTTTTATAACCCTCTGAATCTGGAGTAGCTCCACTAAAATCACTAAGAGCTGTTGTGTCATTTAAAATCTTCATTGGGCAGAAATGAAATGTGAACAGCAATCTTACTTTCACAGTTCACATTATTTTGATACAGCAAAGTCCCCAAAACCGGATTACCATGTGGTGGCAGGTAGGATTGAAAGCTCTGTTTGAACCATAGCTTTTTGTTAACTGTTTTCTACTTACAAAAAATTGGAGTTGGGGCAATGGGCAATTGAAGCTCCTCGAAGATTAAAAATGTCCAGCTCTTCTTCTGAGAGATAACAGCCGTGGGCCATCACTGTCTAGGGAAATAATACCACAATGTTTCTTCAACACAGAGTTTATTTTGCTGCCTTTAGAAATTGTTGTTTTACTTGCATCATCCAAAATGTTCCCTCCCACCGTCAGAGATGAAAGAGCAGGGAGATTAACAATATAATCCAGGGGTACCTGACCTCTGGCCCATGCAGCCCATGGCAACGTGGCATCTGGCCCACAGGACTCCCCACAGGTCAGGAAATTTTGTGACAGAAGAGCAGTGGCAATACCACTACATTTCCCTGCTTCCAAATCCCCTGTCACTGCGGGGCCAGGTCAGAACCAAGCCAGACTCCCTCCCCCAGCTCCACTGAAGCCAGGCCAAGCCCCCAATCTCCCCCACCCTGCAAGACAGGGGTATATTAGATGCAGGAAGAGACGTGTTTGTAAGATTCAGCCCCATATATATTCTGTGCTGCTTTCCAATATAAACTTGTCCTTTACATGGGGCAGATCCAGGGAGGTGTAGTGGCATGGTCTTTGATTGTATGCGATACATGCATTAAGTATTTTGAGATCACTGGCATGTCAACACAGCTCCAGCTAGAAGCTCATGTGTACCATGAGCTCTGAGCATGCTAGCTGGGCAGTTCTGGAGCCTGGGGGTGAATGCCACTGCTGTGGAAATTAATTGTAAGAACGTTGTTTCTTTTTTCAGTCATTTGAGTTATATAAGTTCTCAGCATACAATATATACAAACAGGCATAGGATCATGTTGTTTAGGGGGATATAAACGTATTAGTCTTAGATAAGCAGCTGGATATATCAAAAGATAAGTACCTCTTCCTTTCCCCAAATAACTGGGGTATTTTTTAAAAAGTGTTTGGCATCATTTTGGGTATACTAGAGTATAAGACTCATATTGCTGTTTTAGAACGTCATATATAAACATATTTATATTAATCTGCCAAAAAGATGCATTTTTTAAATCTGTGGAAGATTTTTAAATGGAGGTTCAGTCCCATTCACTCTCTAATTGCCCTTTATGCCTTTGAAAAAAATCTCTCCCTAATATTTTCAAACTGATTTTAAAATTAAGTAATGCATATAATGTATATTCCTCCCTAAAATGTTTCTGTTAATAAAAATCTGATATTGTAAATAAATAGTACAACTGCATTCACTGATATGCCACAAGTGATACAGCTGCCCTAAAGTATATTTTAAGGTACACTGCACAGCTCACATGTGTGAAAACCTAGGGTTTTTATATTACCACTCTTTTTTTTAATACTTTTTATATTGACATGCATGCATCATGAAATATCGCGTCTGCTACTTGGCCAAAAAAAAAAAAAAATCTGTCTGCACCACCTACAACATTTTAAAATTAATTTAATCATGCACCAATCACTAGGTCAAACTCTCAAGCAGTGCAAAGGGGCAGGAAAGCTGAATACTGGGTGCCTGGAAACTTCCCTGTGTCTTCAGTGCTGCCTAATTGATTTTACATAGTTTGCTTTTGTCCCGTTGCTATTCCCAGTTTTCAACTGGGCTGTTAAAAGCCAGACCCAGTCTTTATCCTTCCTTTCTTGTCACAGAGCACTGAGCAGAGTTCCCGTATATCACAAGTTCCAATGCTTTTATTTTCCATGATCATAATTGCATTGTAGCAAATCATGTTTCCATCATCTCTCAGATATTACTGCATCTTCTTCACTGTACAGCAATAGATTTCTTTTTCAAGCAGGTAGGTGGCAAATACAAGTCACTATTATTTTTTCTGTATTGAAAAATCTTATAACTTAAGCTATGGAGGGTTCCTTAACACTACCTTGCTTGTAAGTAGCTTGTTTTTGTCATATAAATCAGTGTAATTTTTATAGGTGGGAAACATTTCCTCCACAAGTTTCATTTCTCCTTCTGTCTCACTGATGTGACTCTGTAAGGAAAAAATATACAATAGTGAGTGCTTATTTACTGTAAACAACAACAAATTAAAAATTAACTACACATGTCTCTACAAAAACTGATTTACAATAAAAGTATGATAAGCAGACACTGGACACTTCTATATATGTGCTTTAATGTGCAGTTGCCTATCTTACTGCACATTAGAGCATCATGGCAAAACTCATGCTACTACACTAATGTGTAGTAAAATTAGGCTACTGCTCATTAAGCATCACTAAAAGAAAGTGCTTTTGCTACCGCACATTAGTGCAGCCTACAGTGCATTAAGTTAGTACCTCACATTAGACAGCATTTACACACATACTTTTCTGTCCCACAACGCACTGGAGATCCACCGCTTAAGAGCAGACTCAATTAATCAAGTCTGCTCCTCACGTGAGCTGAGGCAAACTGCGCTGTGCCGCATGCAGTTGTGTAAGTAGCAAAATGTATGTCGGCGTACAGAAAATGGCGGCGGTGCGCTTTTGAAAAAATTCCCCTCTGATGTGTTTTAGTTCAAAAGCGCGCTGCCACCATTTTCTCAGTGCTGATGCGCATTCTGCCGCGAATACAACTGCAAGCATTGCAGCACTGGGCACTTTTCAAAGCACCTGGCGCTGCAGCACTTGCATGTGTAAAATTGCCCTGAGGTACTAAATTTAATGCGCACTAGCAAAAGTGCATTAATGAACGTGTACATGTGTCCACTTCGCGTTATTCCACTGCTGCAAAGCAATTCTGTGAATTCAGTGCCTGGAGACTCACTGTAGAAAAGATCCTTAGGTAGCACAAAGTTGTCATACCAGCTTCTGTTTACCCTCTTTTCCTACATCAGAGAAAAAATTGGGGTGTGTGGCTGGATATCGCAGTACATTGATCCCAGGTACCATAATAAACCCCTGATGTCATGGGGGACTGGCAAATGTTAAAGCAGCATTTAGGACCTGGAGTTGAAAGGGTGAGTTACCAGTTCTGAATTGTTGCCCAGGATTGTCCTCAGATGGAGTGAGCTTCAGCTGAGAATCTGCTGGAGTATACATTTCTAATATAACCAAATGCCCCATCGTGCAATGTTAAATAACCCCAGAGTAGGGTAAATTCTAATAAAATATGTAATTGGGATTATGTAACCAAAAAGCCTCTCCCCATTTTAACACAGCTGTAGGCTTTAAAAGGCACTTTGAAACTGCAACTTAATGACATAGTAAGATGTACTTCTATTTGTTAATGAGGTTCAAACATGATGCTTTGAATACAAAGGCTCATATTCTGTTCTCTGCTGAGATTTACTTTGTGCAGGACCAATGAGGAAGATGGTTGTAACCCTCCAGGTCTCCACACACAGTTGTATTTGTGCCAGCCCTGGTATGGATTAGAACAGCCTGTAGGCTGCTCTAACCTATAGCAATTAGGTATGGTCTCCCATGTACTTCCCTCATACGCTAACTAGGCATTTATTCTAGCACACAGTGGGCACATCTACACGTTTACTAAGGCACAGTGCCCACTGTGCATTAAAATTTAGTACTTGTATAATCAAGTACTAAATACATTTGCAGTAGGCTGCCATATTGTGTATTAGCGTGATTGTACGCTTTTTATGTGACACTTAATGAGCAGTAGACTAATACTACTGCGTATTAGCATATTAGCACAGTTTTTGCTCAGCATGCTAATGCACAGTAGAATTAGTCTACTGCTCATTAAGAGTCTCATGTAGACGCATCCAGTGTTCCAGTGATGAGCCTGTTTGGTCCCAGTGCTGAATATTGCACTGAGCTGACATTTCAGAGAAATTCAAAGACAGTTAAGTATGTGGGTTACATGCTTTGATGAACTAGATATTATCAGACAAATAATTTGATATTGATCCCTTATGAAAATGGCATGCTTTCTGGGTTATCTTTCCCTGAAAATAGTTACTAGAGAAGTCACAAAATCTTACCTGCACGTGAATATTGTGAGCTTCCGCTAAGTTACCAAGTGAACACAGCAACTCTTCAGTGCAGGAAGGTCCAAAACGAGGTGTCACTATGGGATGTACCCTTGGATACTGGAAGTATTCAAATGACATATATTAGATTATACGTAAGCATCTGTACACCATAACAAATATACCCTGAACCACAAGCTTACATAATACTTGGCAAAGAAGCAACGAACTTTGGTCTGTACTGCTCTGCATCTTCCTTTACCTCTATGAATAAATCACTATACAGTCATATATATTATTACTATTTTTATTATTATATTTATATGTGTTGTCATTGTAACTGTTGTTTATTGTGATTCTCCTTGTCACATGAAGAGACAATCATTTTTTTTTCTTGTAAATTATTTTAGTGACCTGTGAAGATCTTTTCTTGACAATATTTCCTCAAGCAGAAGGGAGGGTAGATTTGCAACTTTATAAACTAACTAAATCAAGAGAAGCATAGGATAAGCTTTCATAAGCAGCAGGCTTACTTCATCAGATGCTGTGAAGGGATTGCATGGAGCAGAGCTTCTAAACTGGAAGCAGCGATGAGAGATGAAGTAAGCCTGCTGCTTATGACTGAATGTGATATTTTGGCTTGCAGCCTCCTTAGCTTACTCTTCATTTGCATAGTACTCACTGCTTTTGAAAATCAGGCCAGTTATTCAGATAATAAATATGAATTTAAGAACCTAACTTTAAGCACCTATTCTTGAAAAATTTGACAAGTGTCAAACAAATTAAACCACTAAAGATAGAAGGGCCATTTATCTCCAAAATTTCTTTGGAAATTCCTTCATGGATAGGAATGAAGTGATCCACAACATTCATGTAAAAGGATTTATTAAATAAACTCTAGAGTAAGGGCATTATTCTGAAGTTATATTAAGACATTTATTTTCTGAAATAAACCAAACATTTTTCCTTACAGTTTATTAACAGTAAAATGATTAAATATTTCTTTCTAAGACTGGGGAACCATACTTTGTAGAAGCAGGCTTTTTAAGAAGTAAAGTTTGCTTTTTAAAAGTACATTATTCTCCAGTGCTCTGAATGAATAGTAGTGAAGGTACAGTGTACAGAAATATTTGCCAATATTAGACCTGTTGCCCTAAATCCAGATCCAGAATTCACTTGATCACTTTTTACAGGAAATTCATTAAATTTTTATTTATTTATAATATACTGAAAGGTCAGTAGTTAATGATTTATCAGAGGATTAACAAGGTTATAAACAGGTAAATCTTCTTTTACAGAAATGAATGTACGCTAGGGAGAACTCTTTTTTTTTTCCATTTTATACAGTGCATGGGGAAAATGTATGTGCAAAATGCAAGCTTACTTACTTTCTTTTCAAGAAGTTCTTTAACAAACCTGAAAAAGGTATGAAAAGCGATATTTATTATAATATAAGAAGAATAGGAGAAAACATTTACCTTATTATTCTATTAAGTCTTTCAGAAAACATCAGATTTACGTGGGGAGTTGAAAGATCCCTGGGTCAGATTCTCGGTAGGCAGTCAACATGGATCCATTGAAGTTGGTGGACCTACATTAACTTCACTAGCTGAGAATCTTTCCTTAAATCTGCAGAAGTTCTATCACAAGTAATAATTAACTCCAGACACATGGTAATTACTATTTGTTCTCACTGGAAACTAAATACATTTCATTAGGTCAACTGAAAGCATTATTATATGCTACAGTGGTACAATTTAAAAAACCTTAATTTTGGCTGTATATGAATTTAAATCACAGCATTGATTCTATTATTTAAAGGGCTATTTTTAAAATGCTGCAATATGTTATGCTTCATTTACAGTGGTTTTACATGTTGAGAATTAAAGTTATAGAACTCTATTCTTCATTCACTTAAAATGCCTTTGATATTTCCAAGGAATATTTATGTAGGTGTTTCGAGTATAGACAATTTACTCTATTGAAAACGCAAAGTGCATTTCCTTGCTCCATTCAAAACAGAAGCATAAAGCACAAAGGATTGGATTCTATGAATATACTTTAAACAATCAAATACAGATACTAGAGGTAAACCAGAATTCATCCCTCAAAACTATACCAAGATTAACATTTTGGATCTCTTGTCCCTGGTCTCACAGCTGAGCATCCTAACCAGTGGGCTATAGAGTACTCTGAGCTGGAACTCCTACAGCTTGACTCCCTAGCTTGACCAGTAAGGCAGCCTATATGCATGTTCCAATGCATTCTAATTAACATATTCTAATTAATTCTTGATTAATCAAGTCTGCTCCATGCTCTACTTAGAACACTGCAGTGTCACCACAGCGTCACATGTATTAAGCCCCTGAACATTTAAAAATGTCCATGGGGCACTTTAACTAAACATCATCAAATGAGGTTTAGACAAAGCATCCCACAGCCATTTTTAAATGTGCAGGGGCTTAATACACATGACACTGTGGCATTTTAATTAGAACAACTACTCAGAAACTGCTGTAATTAAAACTCCCCCCCACATCCAAGCAGGTGTATAGGCACCCTAAGATACCCATTGGAAGATGGAAACCTGGGGCACATCCAGACAAGCACACATGTGCCTCTTGCAGCAGCTCAAAGGGCTTTGAGATGCTGCAGGAGGCATGTACAGGGAGCTGAACCCAGGCTTCTGCCAGTAAGTAAGGGGTAGGGGGGCTGGAGGAGGGGGGAGGAGACCACTGGAGAACTCCCGCCAGCCCTGCCCACTCCCTCAGCCCCCCCCACAACCCGATGGCTGCCCCACCCGGATCCATCCCCTGACTGGCCCCCTGCGCCCTCCAAACACTGCCCCACCTGGCCCCAGCATCCCCGCAATTAAAAAAAAGCCTGAATTCACCGGCAGTAGCAGCTGCTGTCAGAGTTACTGAGGCTTCATGGCAGAGCACCCCCCCCATGCAGCACGGGGCCCGGATGACAGCCGCAGTGGCCTCAGCTGCCCAACAGTGAGCGGAGCTGCCTGGAGCCCTGCTAACCCTAGCCACACCTGCCCAAAGGCGCAGTAGCAGTGTGGGTGCCAGGTGGCTGGGCCCAGGCCCTGCTGCCCCATGCTACACAGGGGGACTCTGTCACAAAGCCCCAGAGCCTCCATAACCCCTGCTACTGCCAGAGAGTATGAGGATTTTTTTTTCTTTTTTTTTAAAGTGGCAGGAGGCTGGGGCCAGGTGAGGCAGCCATCATGGGGCTGGGGGTGCAAGCAGGGGGTGGTGCTAGGTGGGGCAGGCATCAGGGGGGCTGAGGGAGCCAGCAGAGGATGGGGCCAGGTGGGCCAGCAATTCAGGGGGCTGGGGGAACAAGCAGGGGTGGGGCAGGTGGTAGCCCCTTGTGGGGGGGCTCTAGCCCCTGTGGGGGGGATGTGGCCCCTGTGGGGGGTAGTCTGTGAGCTGTGCAGGGGGACCCATGCCTCCTGAGCAGACCCCCCCCACA